CATCAAGGCTCTCTCCAGCTGTCTGTGCAGGCCAGGAGTTCTCACACACATCCTGGGAGTGTGTTCAGATCAGTGGAGCCTTGGAACCCAGCTGCATAGACTCTGAGGCAAGCAAACCTGGGTTTGGATCCCACCACAGAACATTTATTTGTTCCATAAACCAAAAATAGTGTGAGACAGATCTCCATTAACTTAGCAGTTTATTTTGCCAAGGGTGAGGATGAGCCTGGGAAAAAGAGACAAAAGTTACAGGAGGCTCTGTAGCCTGTCGTTTTTCCAAAGAGCGTTTCGGGATTTCCATACTTAAAGGGGAAAGAGTAGCAGTAGGGAAAAGAGTAACAGTCCATTACGCCTTCATCTAGGCTCAGTAAATCTGCATTTTACGTTAGATAAAGCAAACATAGAACAGAGGAAGAAGTCAAACATGCATTTGTCTTGGGGTGGGCAAAGGAATGATTTCTAGTCTTGTCTTTGTCCCATGCCTGTGAAGACAAGCTATTAATTTACATTATTAGGGTGAGATTCAATAGAACTCTGCCTTAGGGTGAAGATTTTGGATAATTTTTCCCTTTGGAAGTTTGGGTCTCTTTTCCTTTCACATTTCTTACAACAGTTTTTACAAGTATTTATTGCCAAGTACTGGGCCACGACAGCAGACAAAATAATTTCTACTCTCAAATCCCTTCTCTCACGGAACTTATATTTTATTTATTTATTTATTTAAGATGGAGTCTCAGTCTGTAAACCCAGGCTGGAGTGCACTGGCACAATCTCAGCTCACTGCAACCTCCGCCCCCCAGGTTCAAGTAATTCTCCTGCCTTAGCCTCCTGAGTAGCTGGGATTATAGGCATGCACCACCACACCCAGGTATTTTTTTGTATTTTTAGTAGAGATGAGGTTTCCATGTTGGCCAGGCTGCTCTTGACAAACTCCTGACCTCAGGCGAACCAGGCACCTCGGTCTCCCAAAGTGCTAGGATTACAGGCGTGAGCCACTGCATCAGTGGAACTTACCTTTTAGTAAGGGAAGCAGATAACTAACAAGATAAGGAAGAAAAATATATAGCATGTCTGACAATGACTTAGTAGAGCCGTAAAGAAAATAGAGGAAAGGATGGCAGGGCAGCTGGAGGTAGGGTGGAAGGTTTAAATAGGAGGGTTGGGTAATATTTGAGCAAAGATTTGAAGGAGGTCAGAGATGGAGCCACGTAGTCTGCATAAAGACCCTTTAGTAGGTGCTTTGGGAGCTCAGGACACACCACTACAAAACAGAATTGCCAATGACTAGACTATGCTACCCCAAAATATACCTGTTTGGCACATTGATTATTATTATTATTATTTTTTTTGAGATGGAGTCTCACTCTGTCACCCAGGCTGGAGTGCAATGGTACAATCTCGGCTCACTGCAACCTCTGTCCCCTGGATTCAAGCGATTCTCCTGCCTCAGCCTTTCGAGTAGCTAGAATTACAGATGCCTGCCACTATGCGTGGCTAATTTTTGTATTTTTAGTAGAAACGGGATTTCACCATGTTGGTCAGTCTGGTCTCGAACTCCCGACCTCAGATGATCTGCCTGCCTTGGCCTCCCAAAGTGCTGGGATTACAGGCATGAGCCACTATGCCCGGCCAGCATATTGAGTATTTCAAGCGTGTTATTTTGAGAAACTGCAAACATAAGCGTTGCTCTGAAAAGCTGTTATTTTATAAAGGAAATTTACATTTAAAAGGGACATTTTCATTAGAGAGGGTATCTATTTCAGGAAGAGATCTACTCTAGACAATTTTTATCATCTGACACACTTTTATTTGCCTAACAAGGCACCCTTTATTCAGCACCCATTTCCACCCTCACCCTCCTATGTCTCCATCACCCTCAGAAGCCCCAAACCCCTATTCTGTAGCTCAGGATAGTATATAAGCCTCAATTTTCGGGCTGTTTCTTGGAGTCTTATGTTTTTGTGGGACTCCTGTGCATACATGTGAAATTAAAAATGTTCTTTTCCTGTAAATCTGTCTTATGGCAATTTAATTCATAGACCTGCCAAAGAACTTAGAAGGATACTAAGAAGCAGTATTTTTTTTTCTCTCCTACAATTGTAGAACCCCAAAAGCTCAGTTTGAGTACCTGATGGAAGCCAAACAGAGGCACATCAGTGCTTTGGAAGAGTGAATGGTTTATTTGATTTGGCCAATGTGTGAGCATGGGAGAGACAAACTCTCAAATCTGACCTGCCTTTGAACATCACTGGGGTCTTTTATGAGTAAGGTAGGTTGTGGGAGGTGAGATTCCCCAGTGATTAAAGCTGTGAACAGCCCCAGGTCGATCAAACTTTCTGGATGCCATCAAGGAGGTCTGCATGACCTAAAGATCATCGTTCTTTGAAAAAAAAAAAAGTTAATTTTGCAGGCAGGCCCCAGGGTCAGGATATGAAGTTAACCAATTATTAGTGAATAACTTCTACCAAAATGACTATGTATAAGCAATTATGCATGGAAGAGGAAAAGGACAAAGAAAAAGGAAAATAGCAGT